GATACGTCCCTACCCCTAAGAGCTTCTAACTAAATGAGGGAGACAGACGTGTTAATACAACAGTGTGATACTCACCAACAGGGGACTGTACTCAGTTATTTTGGCCACCTTGTTATCCTTGAGACCAACAGCCTAATTTGTTGAGATAGTTAGACCTTTATGGTTGGGGATGTTGTCAAAGTTAAGGAAATGAAGAGAGCTTCCTGACCTCGTTTATGAAAATATGTTCTGTCCAACGGGACTAACAGTACAGATGAATCTCTGAATTTAGATGATTATTACCATAAGGCTGGTGTGTATTGATTTTTAAGCAGACTGTTCTCTCATTAACCACCAACAATGTGACTGCTTTGGTTTCTACTTTTTATAGACGTTCTGGAGTCTCTTTTAGAAATGCTTTTTTGAATTCTGAAAACTATAGCCAGCGACAAGTGATTGGCTTATTAAAATTTGGCTTTAGCCGGGCTCGGTGGCTCAGCCTGTAGTCCTGTGCCTTTGGGAGGCTGAGGTGAGTGGACTGCCTGAGCCCGCGGGTTCGAGACCCGCCTGGGCAGCGAGGCCTCATCTCTACAATAAATAAAAAAATCAGCCGGGCGTGGTAGCACATGCCTGTAATTCCGGCTACTCGGAAGGCTGAGGTGGAAGGATTGCTGGAGCCCAGCAGGCGAGGCTGCTGTGGCCGGGAGCGGCCACTGCACTCCAGTCTGGGCGACTGAGTGAGACTCTAACTTAAAAAAAAAAATTGGCTTTAAATTCCTCTCTCAGAAAATGTGTGTTTGTGATTATGTTGATCCGTTTGGGTAAGAGGAGGGGGACACAGCCAGGCTCTATCTAGTCCAAATGGGATTTATAAAAGCTAGAGGCCTAATTTAGGGAATGAGGTGTCTGAGTATCAAGTACACTGGCAATAGACAGTGAAGCAAAATCATTATGTGAAACAGATCCTGCAATGCTGGTCTGGCTCACACACACACACACACACACACACAGGCAACAGAACTAGAATAGATTCTCTGAGATAACATACTGTACAAGTAGAAGGCAAGTAGATGTTAAAGTGCTGAGCATTTGAACACGAGACCTTGGTTTTGGAAGAATGAGAGACATGATACTATTTCAGACACTTGAATGACCAGTGTGCGGAGACAGCAACCTAGGACCAAGGGTTGGAAGTTATTGCAGAGAGACAGAGTTGTTTTCAATGTTAGGAAGAACTCTCTAAGAGAACTGTTCAAAAATGGAGACAGTGATTCTTTTTTTTTTTTTTTTTGAGTTGGAGTCTCACTCTGTCGCCCAGACTGGAGTGCAGTGGCCACCGCAGCCTCGACCTGCTGGGCTCCGGCGATCCTTCCACCTCGGCCTTCCAAGTAGCCGGAATTACAGGCGCGCGCTACCACGCCCGGCTGATTTTTTTTATTTATTGTAGAGATGAGGTCTCGCTGCCCAGGCGGGTCTCGAACTCGCGGGCTCAGGCAATCCACTCACCTCAGCCTCCCAAAGGTGCGGGATTACAGGCTGAGCCACTGAGCCCGGCTGAGACAGTGATTCTTTACCCTTGAATGCACTGGATGGGATATAATAAATTAGAAACTGAAAAAATGTATGTTCCAGGATGTTTTAAAATGTAGAGGGACCTTCTATATCTGGCTTGGAAGCTGCATTAGATTCTAAGGTTACTTTCAGATTTAAATATTAGTCTATAATTTTTTTAATTACGTTTTTGATAAATGTATAATAGTATAATCCTGTGCTTAAATTCCCTATTTTGATATTAAATTTGTTTAAGCATCAGAGTCTCAGATATAATTTATAACACATCTAGATAAATATATTCTTTCAAATTATATAATATTTAATGAAAATCACTACATTTGGTTATATAAATACATTTGCAGATAAATAAAAACATTAATTCAGGAGAAAATTTAGGTACTAGTCTTTGTTTTATTCATCATAAAAAGAAGACACACCTATGGTAAGTAGAAGAAGCTATCCCAATTAGCAGTTCCCTATAAATGTAAGCACCATTTATGAACTTTTCGTGAGTGAATTTTTAAAAAGAAAGAAAAATTCCCTTCGTTGAAAATGCGCTTAGGGTGATGGAGTTTTAAAACTCCATTGAAAAGTCCTATTGAAAAATCTTGTGTATGCAGACCCACTGAAATTAAGCTACTCAGAACACCTAAAATGACAAAGTTGGAGGAGAAAGCAGTTATATATCAGAAATGATTGAGATGTGTAAACAGAATGCAGAAATCTGTGGCCACTTAAGTGTAGCAAATTGCTGGGGTAATGATCTTCCACATGCCTCAGTCTTCGATAATCAGCCTCACTCCCAAGTATGACTTTATAAAGTGGACAAAGTTGTTTCTCACACTGAGCAGAAATCTGCTCTCTATAAAATCCAGTCCTTATTTTTAGTTTGCCCTGCAGAGCTGCTCCCCTGGAGAACATTTTTGAGTCTTATACTTTCAATTCTAAATAAAAGAGGTGAAGAGTTTCTGAAATACTAGATCCAATTACTAAGAATTATGAGCTTAAGGTAACATTACATATTCAACTTTATACTTAACCATTTCATAATTATGTATCGTTTTCAAATCTCAAGTTGTAAACAGACACATTTCTCTGTGCTTGATTCTGATTTTCAAATAGTATAGCTTGAGCTAAGCACACTGAACATATAGCCAATTGCTCTTCCAGATATCTGGGAAAAATGGAAGCATATTGCAGCACGTGGTCACTCTCAAATGATGATACAGTTGACAAGGATAACATGTAATGAGTACTGCTGTGATAAAGACTTCTTTCACTCTCAATACCAGAGTGAGTATGATGGAAGTGTAGTTAATTCTAATTATGCAGATGTTCCTCATACTACTTAGTCTTGAAGGCTGTAGGTGAACAAAAGTTGCTCCACATTTTAAGTCAAGTTTGAAGATCGCTCTATAAATGTTCATTAACTTTGAATTGATCTCATGTTAGATAGAATATTTACATTTAATAATGCCATATACACACTTTCAATTCTAGAATACATTACAGTATTAAAATATTTCTGCATGTATAAACCATATGTGAAGCAAGACAAATGATAATGGATTTGGAAATGTTAAATAGAATTTTTCCACAGGAATGACAGCAGCCTGGATAATCAGCACAATTATTCTGTCTCTTGCACTGTAGCATTGGCTAAAGAATATAATCAAAACAAAGCAGACTTTTTAAAGAAGAATATGGGAAGAGGCCATGAAGAGATGTCATTTTCTCTTAGCTAACCAAACAGAGAAAAAAACAGCTCCTTCTGGAGCTACTGGGAATAGATGAGGGATTACTGAGATTTGCATGTCAGATCCAGAATGAAGGGTAAGGCCAAATAATATATGTGGTTCTTAGATAATGAAGGTACTATAATGGACAAGACCAGAAGATATAACCAGTTTAGTCGCTGTCCCTGTGTGGTTGGGTTCCTTGAGGATTTTGAGGACATAGAATCATCTTTGAAGAAGGTAGACAGATCGAATGAAAGGGTTACCTTTATAAGGAGATGCAAAATTGGAGAGGAAGTCAGTGAGTGGAGCCAAGCCCAGCAGAGATTGCTATAGTGACTAGAAAAAAAGAACAGTAAATACAGGAAGAGTTTGGGGGGAGGTGTTGATTAGACGAGGTATTTTTCTTGCAGTGACAGCTGATGAAGAGCACAAAGATGCCAGATATGAAGTGATGACAATACATGAAAATGATCAGAAAGCAACCCAGAGTAGTTGTAGAAACTAAGGCAGAAAACTTTTTGCATTAGAAAATGTATTAAAGTAAATGTAGAGGGAGCCACTTAGGCCTTGATAACAGGAATATTTCTAGAAATATTACCACAAAGCAGTGGCAATGAGACAATGGTGGCAATCAAGAAAATGACACAATAATGAAACAGAATGAGAAAAGGATTCAATTTTGCTTTAATTTCTCCTTTCTGGAAGAGATGAACAATTCTTAGAGTCAGTGATTAAAACAATATTTATTTTAAACATACTCTATTTATATATGCTTAAATTAACAGTCCGGTAAATCCACATATAGGTTACTCACTGTGTTACGGTCTTTCTCAAATAACTTGTTTTCAAAGTCACATATAGATACACAAAAGCTTCCACAGAATTTGTTTGTTTCTTATCCACACAGAGAAAAAAACAGTCAACTACTCATGTGCTTAGATAGGAAGGCCATCAATTCTACAGAATACTGTCTGTGCACCTGTCATCCAGTTCGTAGCAGTCCTTGATCTTGAAGCTGCATACAAATGTACTCTAATATTCTGTTCAGTTTTGAATAATATGCTTGAGACTTACAATTGCATATATTTACATATAAAATAAATGACCTTCATTTAGGCATTTCCTAATAAAATAAAAGGACCGTCATTTAAGAATTTCCACTGAGGAACACACTTTTAAAGGATATATACATTTAAAACAGATTAACCTTTACTACTGAGTATAGAAAGTTACATTTGGTTCCAGAGAAATTCAATCTACACATTACCTGAGATGGTAAGGGGTCTTAAAACCTTAAATGCCTTTATCTTTTAAACTGATTCAAGAAACATAACTCTTGCAAGGGAGAATGGTCCAGCTGAGAACAGTGATGACTGGTGCTCTTCCATTATTTGGGTTAAATACTGAATATCTAAACAGATGCAGGTTATGCATACTATTATCAATACCAAAATCCTTGTCACTTTTTTTAAAATTTAGAAAGTAATTCACTATGAATAACTTACTGAAATAAACCAACGTGGTAGTTCACAGTTGGTATACATCATCCCAGATAACTGATATACTACTAAAAACCTGAAATTTAAATCCTGAAATTTCTTATTGCAGCTCAAATTTGGACAAAGATTATGAAAAGCACAACAAAATGATTCACTTACCTAGAAGTCAATTTTTACATCCTCAATTAGGTTGGAACCTGGCAATGACACATAAAAAGTATTTTAGGTCTGCCAGTCTTAGAGTCTAAGAACTTCACTCAATGAATTTTACAATGGTTAAGATAAACCCAGGCCAGGTGGAACTTAGAACTACTAATTAGATCAAGAATGTTAATTTACTAAGTCTGAACCAGGAAAAAAAGAGAATACTGCTAGAAATTGAAACTGACACTGAAAACTAATAGAATCGGTATTTTCAAAAGCATTTACATAACTGCTGATGGAATTGCAACATTGCACATTATGCTCTTAATGAAAAGAACAGTCATTTTAAAAGATAAATTATATTTAGTGTACTGCTTAGAAGGCTTGGGAAATATACTGCATTTTTTAAAAAATCTGAAAAAATGTGATAAGTGCTTTAAAGAAGTTAAACAATGATCAGAAATGATATGAATTCAACTCTTACCTTTGCAATAAAGAGGTAGGATTCTCACCTTTCTAATTTATTTTTTATTTCATATAATATACCGTGTAAATAATTCATCTTATTCCCTCAAGAGATTTCTCCCATCTTAATAGTACAAATCTGTGTACTTTGTTTTTAGTAGTATTTCATGGATAAAGTGAAAATAAAAGTGCCAAAGTCTATGATATTTACTTACATATAAAAATACTAACTATTCTGGATTCTCCAAGATTAAATTATATACAACATAATTTTTGGTAAAATATATTTTGTTTTGGGGAATTGTTTATTCAGATATAGTGTACATACTTAGTAACTCTCTGACAGCACGAGCATTTTATTAAAATGTGAAGACCCTTTTACCAGTAATAACGGTTAACACATTTACCGTAGGTTACTAGAACTAGAATAGTTTTAGGATGTCCAAGCACATCACTTTTACAAATGATTAGAAAACCACGGGTCTCTGTATTTATTAAACTGAATCACCTGGCAGTAAAATTCAGTTAAGGCTCTTGGCATTGGTGAAACTTCTTCCCACTCAGACCTGCTGCTGTGGTATACCTGCACTTCATCTGTGATTTCATCTGGTGCATAATCACCACCTAGTATATAAATTTTATCTTCAATTCCAATTGCACCTGCATTAAAGCCTGCACACTCAAAAGATCCTTCACCCTTCCAAACACAAGTATCTGGACAAAAACTATAAACCTTATAGGTAGAAAGGTCACATATATACAGTGTGCAGTTTACAGGGACAGCTTTAATTAGTGTTGCATGAAAAAATTGCCCAAACTCTGCTACTAGTTCAGACCACTGATCAGTCGTAGCATTGTATTTAAAAAAGCAATCAAGTGATGGGTTAAAAGCATCTGTAATCTCTACCTCTGATCCAAGAACATAAATTACATTTTGGCATGCACTTGCTTCTGGATAGTATATGCCTCTGGGTAATGGGCTAACAGATATCCATTCTTTGGAAAGAGGGTTGTAAGACTCAACATCTAAAAGACTTTTAATGTCCCGAGATCCTCTAGTTTTTCCACCTATGATAAATAATCTATCGAGAGCCATAACTGACGTATGCATGGTTCTTGGTGTTTTCATTGTTGATACCAAGAAGAAATCATTTTTGACTGGACAGTAGCACCAGGTCTGATCAGTGGCGTCATGATATGACTCAGCAATGTGCAGTCGAATCGTCCTACAACACTTCCCTTTGCAACCACCTGTCAAGAAGATCTTCTCTCCATAACTAGAAAGACTAGAGCCTGGCAAATCAATCAGGTGTGACTGCGGCAGTATTTTCCATGAATCCGTTTTAATATTATAGCAAAATGTATATTGATTTTCTCCATTTTCCTCAGTTTTGTGAATGAATATATATTTTTCAGTCGTGGATGGCCGAGCATCTGGGAAGAGTCCACCAGAACCTTGCACACACTTAACTGCATCCACGATTGTGTCAAAGCAGTTTGTAGTTTTGAGTAAATACTCCTCATTGAGCAGACAGTCCTGAAGTGTCTCCTCAGATAACTGATGCAATCTTACTTTTTTAATCAAATGAGGCAGATATTTTTGTCTTGATTCTAAATTATGTTTAGTCCAGGTAAGGACAACCTTCAGTACTGTTTCTTCTTCGGGGACATTTAATTCATCTGATTCCAGACATTTTTGTAGTACTCCAAAATTCATCTCTAAGAAATCACTGGATTTAAATAATAGAGAAAAGTGATGTTGTACAAAGTATAATGCATGATCAAACAAACTGGTAGAGCCATAGCTATCTGATATAGATAATAATTGTAAACAATTGACAAGATTGATACTTTTTATTAAAAAGTCACTGCAAGCTTTGGATAGGAAGGAAACTTGAAGAAATGATGACAACTGAAAGAACATTTCCACATTATCATCTGTTATTTTAGTTTTTCCAGTATAGGCATAATCAAGAAATGCTTTTACTGCTTTGGAAGATAAATTAGTAATGGTAACACTTCCATCATCTCTTTCTTTCATGTTTACTTCAAACATAGCCCTGCAAAAATAGAACACAGAAGAACAAGTAAACAGGAATATTTTATTCCATCATTATTTTCAATATTACCTTAAAGAAGTTTCCTTTACCCTAAGGTTGATTTAAAATATATCTATAAAATAATATTTGATTGCATTCTAATAAATTATCTTAAAAGCTAGAATAATTATATACCACATTATTTATCTGACAACTAACTCATTACATAACTCCCACATTGCAAAACATATACATTATAGCCATGCTACAGCAACTCATCCAAAAGAGTCTATACGGAGATTTCAAATTTTTAGACTCATTTGTCCTTATATATTACTCATAAGTTTGGAGCAAAATATTTCTAATGGCCAAATTTATTTATTTATGGGTTAATTAGTATCAACTATGCTGGTGATAACAAAAAGTTTTTAAAATATAATGCTTGGAGGTTTGGAATTTAAAAGTCTCTTTCAAATTAATCTTTTATTTGACATTAATAAAACAGGAAAGACAGAGAGTAGAGTGAAACAGCAGATGTCTCCAAAGAATCTATCTGGTGTGGGAAAATCCATCAGCTAAAGCACACATATAAAAAGACATTTTATACAACGCTTTAGGGAAAAGGGAAATGCTTTCATAAAACTAAACAAAAACAGTGTACCGTATCAAGTCAAAAAGGCGGAAAAAATGGTTTTTTTGGAAACAGCCATTAAGAGATGGGTCCCTACATTTGAATATGGAAATCAACTTGAAAGTTCTTCATCATCAGTTCTGTTTCATTCCCGCAAGGTAAAGTGGAAAGAATCAAAGGAACTGGGAATTTATTTGGCTTAGTTTAGGCAAAAATATAAATTAGTTGAAAATGTGTGGAGAGGGAATAAAATATATTTTACCATTGGCTAGAGTTTAATAATGGCTTGTATTTGTGTCAGTATTCTCCAGGACACCTTTGAGAGGAGTGACTCTAGGTGCCTAAGTACTCTGGGGGAAAACCAACTTACCTCTTAGAGTCTACTCCAGAAGTTAACTAAATCTATTAACAAATACAACACTGAAGTGAAAAATTTGAGAGGCCTTGAAAATAAGGAATATCCCTTAGGAAAAGGAAGACTGACAAAGGATTTCCCTACTAGGCTATCCAATACTTCTTAATACAAAACCGACTAAATATAGCTTTAAAAGTATATGTATGTTATGCCTTATGCAGGCTTTTTTCAATAATGTAGATCAATGGAAATATTAAACAGTGATGATAATTGTACTCGATTATTAAAATATCTATAGTCGCCGGGCTCGGTAGCTCAGCCTGTAATCCCGTGCCTTTGGGAGGCTGAGGTGAATGAATTGCCTGAGCCCGCAGGTTTGAGACCCGCCTGGGCAGCGAGACCTCATCTCTACAATAAATCAAAAAAATCAGCCGGGCGTGGTAGCGCATGCCTGTAATTCCGGCTACTCGGAAGGCTGAGGCGGAAGGATCACCGGAGCCCAGCAAGTCAAGGCTGCGGTGGCCGGGAAAGGGGAATGCACTCCAGTCTGGGCAACAGAGTGAGACTCCAACTCAAAAAAAAAAATGCTTATAGTCAGTTTAGGATAGCATCAAAAGCCCGGCCTCGAGAGGCCACCTGCCTGGGTGGGTATGTTACCTCTGCCACTTACTAGCTGTATGATTGTGAGGAAGTGACTTAACTATATTGTGCTTCAAATTCTTCATCTGAAAATGAGAATTCTGGTAGTATTTATTTCACTGGGTTTTTCAGAAGAACAGGTCAGTTAATGTAAAGCAGCAGCTGTTATTATTTTAGGAAAGCAAATGTTTTCTATCAGATTTGATGTATTCTTAATTCAACTTCCACATTTTGAGGAGACAAAATGTAGGATTTTATTTCTATAGTCCACCCTACTCATCTTTAAAGGATCAAGTTAACATGTATTTCAAATTTTCCATATTATCATAAAGTGGTTAGAACATGTGTGTGTGTGATTCCTTTTCAGTTTCTTGCTTCCAAAGACTTTACATCTTGATCATAATTTTCATTTTCTAAATACACTGTGAAGGGTATTTATCATGCATTGCACACTTTTCTGACATTTTTGTTTTATACTTCCTTCCCAATATTCAGTAATTTTGATATTATGAATTAGTGACTTTATTATATGAGTGTAAATTATCAAATTTCTATCTGTATTTGTACATATTATTATGTGAACTGTGTACTCATTTAATAAATTACTGCACAAAGTACTATCATTTGTGTTATTTAAATCAGGTATAAAACTTTAAAAATATATTATTGTTTTAACAATAATTTAAAAAATTAAAAGAAGGTCCACAAAAAAACTAGGAGTAAGCTGAATAAGGTACTGTGATCAAAAATAATCTGTAGATAAACTTAATTTAAAAATAACTTCAACAAGAAGAGTTGAGGCCTGCAGATCCCAATGCCTAAATGAAACTCTTATTTTATTAGCATGAAAACATTACAGGGAAATCAAGTTGTGTGTTCACACCAGATTATTTCAATTTTTGCTAGGTTGGAAATAAGAATAATCCAAGTAATTAACCATACATAATATTACACAGCTTCCCGTGATAAAGAGGCCACATGAAGGATAAGGAGGAAGAAAAGATGTATTAGAAGAGAGGAGGGAAGACATTGGTGGAACTTGAGAGTGGTCAAGTACAAGAACAGTAAAGGCCCTAGTGAAATTCATAGAATAACTTAGATGACCTAAGAGAAGAAATAGGTAGATAAAGACAAGTCTAATTAGACAAACAGTTTAGTCCCAGTTGTAGTCCCAGTAAACTGTGATGCAGCACTGAGCCACTGCTTTCAAAATTCAAAGCAAGAAACTCTACAGGAAGAGGTATGTGCTTGGCAAGCAGTGAATATCAATATATGCTTGCTTAATGAAATCCACCTTGTAAGATTTGTTCCATAGGCAGTGAGGGTGAGGTCTAATTACATATTGGCAGAAAAATAAGGCTAAAGATCAAAAATAGTATAAATCAACTTGCATTTTCTATGTTTCCATATGTTAGATCCTATTCTGTTTTTATCAGCTGTATTTATTGGAGATTTCAACCCTGCTTTATTTGAATTAATATTGCTTCCAAAATTGAACATAATGCAAGTTATTGCAATTAGGGTTTGAGTTTATTGCAGTATGACCAGAAGGGCTGAAGACCAGGGTTGACATCAAGACAAGCTTGTCTGTTGACCAAGGGGCCCCATAGGATGGTAATACCTTTATACAATTACTACAGTAAGTATAAGATCATGTGGCTGACCCTTAACCTTACAGACTCAGAAATCTGCTGTCATCATAACAATTATTGCCGTGTCATGACTATTAGATCCTTGTCCAGGTAATCTACATGGGAAATCAAATTATATTCAGAAGGCTGCTTAGAATTCAAACAAACTGGGTGCTCTGAGAAATGCTTTTTAGCTAAAGGGTACTTCTCCCTACTTTAGGAACATCTTTGCCAAAGAGAAGATAAATTTTTTAATTCTCTGGGTTAGAACCCCTCCTCTGGATAATACATGGACAAAATATACTACTGAAACATTTTTTTTTTCTTGGCCATTTTCTTCAAAATTTGCTTCCATTTTTGTCCATCCTGTTCTTTTTTCTAAAAGGATACAGCACAGGGATTCCCCCAAACAAAGCTGACCCCTGATTAAGAAAAAAATTTTTCCCCCCCAAAACATTTCAAGGAACTAATGTTCCATAGAACTTTGGGAAGTGCTGGTCTGGGAAGACCCACATTTTAAAAACAGTAGACTTAAATTATCCTACTAAAAATCACCAAGTAATTTTAGTTCTACTTAGTTTTTTTTAAGAATGAAAAATTACTATTGCATGTTCCTGTAGGGAAAAAGTGAGGATAGTTATAAAATATAACTTAATTCTCTGTATAATAAAATCTAAGACACAGACAAGGTAAAGTACCTGAAAAAGTCACTGCATGCCGCTAACACACAACGATGACATGGGATTATTTCATCTTTCATGATTATTTTGAAATCATAAAAGACATTTTGTTCTCTAAAATTCTGTAGTACACTTAAGATTTTCTGTCCATGATCCTCTGATACAAGGAAGTTGTTTTTCTTCTCAGATGGAATTCCATTACATGAGCTTCGTCGACTGAAATCATATGAGCTATCCATAGCCAATTCCATATGTTCTTAGAACTACAATGAAAAAAAAATCACCAGTGTAATAGAGACCTAATGAAATTTTCAGATTCCAAAATTTGCCCTTAGTGTCAATTACACAAAAATGGTCACTAAGAACAATCATATGCTAGTAAACCTTGTTATAAACGTTTGTTTTTTATGACATTTAATAATATATTATTTCTGTATTTTCATATTTGTTGAGTTCATTGGAATAGAAGCATATTGTTAATAAGGGTTAACATCAAAGCTATGTAATTGTGTTAAACAGCAAAATTTACAGGTTGTAGAAATAGTTCATATAGGATCTAACGACATGACTAGTCTTACTGTTACAAATAAGAGGCATTATTTCCATGGTAGTTAAGTATATACCCAACACATTCCCCTCCCCTCCCATTCATTTTCTTTTGGTATCAAATCAGCTGTTAAAAATTAGCCAGACATGGTGGCACATGCCTATAATCCCAGCTATGTGGGAGGCTGAGGCAGAGGACCACCTGAGCCCAGAAGGTCAAGGGTGTGGTGACCTGTGATTGTCCCACTGCCTCCAGACTGGGTGATAGAGTGAGACCCCAAATCAAAAGTTAAAAAAAAACAAAAACAAGTCCTTGGTTGCTCTAGCCATCATTAAGTGGTTAGCTATATGTGGCATGATGGTTAATTTTATTTGTAAACTTTCCTGGGCCACATATGTCTGTGAGAGTGTTTCTGTAGGATTAACATTTGAGTCAGTTGACTGAATAAAGAAGATTGCCCTCAGTGGGCTGCATCCAATTTGTTGAAGGCCTGAATAGCATAAAAGGCTGAGTAAGTAGGAAACAATTCTTTCTCTCTGCCTGACTGTCTTCAAGTTGGTACACTGATCTTCTGTCTTCAGACTCAAGACTCAGACTGGAGCTATGCCACCAGCTTTCCTAGGTCTCCACCTTGCTGACTGCATATCTTGGGATCTCTCAGTTTCCATAATCACAAAGGCTAATTCCTTATAGTGTCTCTCTCTTTCTTTCTCTCTCTCTCTCTCTCTCTCTCTATCTCTCTCTCTCACTCTCTCCATTTCTAACACCTATAAAAGACAAATATTTAAATTCCAACACCTATAAAAGACAAATATTTAAAATATCAGTTTGCCTAAAAAATCACATATCTTCCCAAGGATATGATATTATGCTGTTAAAGCAAATACAAAGCCCATTCACCATAGAAGATATATATATATATAGCTATACATATAACATACAGGTTCTGTTTTTCTGGAGAATGTAGAGAGTTTAAAGTAGGAAGTTGTCGTCTGTATAATCAAAAAGTTAAGTAAGGTAGTAACTGAAAAGAAGTCAATAATGATTTAGCGGTCAAGTGGGGAGGGGAGAGATTACAGTGGGTTTAAGAGAAAATAATGGGCACAATTTGTATAAATTATATCTTTAAAAAGTTCAGCAGGGTAGAGGCTAGGAAAACATGCAGGTACTATGATATTCTGTTGTTTGTTGTAGAGAGGAGAAACTTGAGCATATTAATACGCTGAAAAGAAAGGGAAAGTATGGAGGGAAATTTTTCAAATGATCACAACAATCTGAATTCAACACTTACATCTGTATTGAAAAGTAACATTTTCTGGACCTTTATACCATTAAATTGGAGTACAATACTATATGGTAAGGCTTTCATTTCTGGTAACAGGTAAACACTGATTGACAATAAATGGTTAGAGACACTGAGTTTTTATAGTTGTATAGTGATATAACAAACCTGAAGGTGGCGGAATTTATAATAAGTAATTTGTATAGTTATCTCATTCAGTCCTCATCCTAATACTTTACGATTGGTATTAATAATGTCTTTTTCAAAACAGCAAACTGAGGCTCAGAGACTAAATAACATGCCTAAAACACAAAACTAGTAGAAACATGCTTATTTCACTAAACTCCTAAGTCCTTTCCAATACCATTCTGACCCTGAATTTTAATACCAAATGGAAGATTAGAAAGGAATTTGAGTGCTCCTAAGATCCAACTATAAATGTACTTCTCAAAAGTTACAATTTAAGATCATTCTTAATAAAAAAAATATATGATAACCATAGCAAACATTTGCTGAGCCAGTGTGACAGCCATGGCCCATGGATTTCACACAGTATTCAATTCTCATAAATATAACCCTAATTTAAAAAAAATAAAGAGACTTCTGCTTCCAATAAGCTATAGCAGATGTACTTTTCCCTATTTCTCCTTCAAAGTACAACAAAAAGCAACTGGATATATATGTAAATATATGTCACAAATATATGATGACTGTGAAAAATGGAGAGAAGAAAGAGACTGGCTAGTAAATGTGAGACCTGAGGAACAAAGTGATGGTGAGGTCCTTGGATTTTCATTTTGCCTAACATACCCCAGCTACTAAAGTTGGCATACAAAAAGCCCAAGAAAAAGCTGCTTTCTTTGGCCATAGGACCAGGAAAGGAGCAAGCTACCAAGACAGAAAAGTTTTTTTGTGTTTTTGTTTGTAATTTTTTTTTTAGTTGGAGTCTTACTCCATCACCCAGGCTGGAGTGCAGTGGCACATTCTCGGCCACCACAGCCTCGACCTACTGAACGCAGGTGATCCTTCCACCTCAGCCTTCCAAGTAGCTGGAACTATAGGCATGCGCTACCACACCCAGCTAATTTATTTATTTTTTAATTGTAAAGAAAAGGTCTCACACCATGCTGCCCAGGCTGGTCTCGAACCCATGGGCTCAGGCAATCCTCTTGCCTCGGCCTCCTAATGTGCTGGGATTACGGGAAAAGTTTTAAGACAATGAATGTTCTACCCTAACTGAACAGCACACAAAAAAAATTGTGGCTCTATTCCCACCCAAGTCTGCAAAGGTGTAATGGAAAAACTAGAATTCCACCCATGTTAGTCTGCAATGAGATGCTTCTACAATTTGCCTCCTATACCCTACTTGAGTGGTGTCAGGGAAGGCTGAACAACTACTAAAACGTCTATGCAAAGAGATAACACTCGTAGTCACTATAGCTGAGTGAAAATGGAATTCTAAAAAAATGTTAAGTAACCCACAGCAAGACAGAAAAGAGAAAACTGAAAAATGAAAACAAAGGGAATAAACAGAAAATTTAAAGATGCAGACTTGAGTACTAACATATCAATAATTGCACTAAGTGTAAATTGTCTATTACATGAATTAAAAGATAGAGATTGCCAGAGTAGATAAAAAAGCGACCCAACTCTTTGCTCTCTACAAGTAACTCACTTCAAATATAATGATATTAGTAGGTTGAAAATAAAGGCTAGAAAAAGATATGCTATGTAAGCATTGATTTTTAAAAAGTGGGTATGGCAATATAATTTCAAGATAAAGTTGACTTTGGCAAAGGAAATTATTAGAGACAAAGAGAAATATTACATCATTTCAATCCACCAAGACTAGCAAACATAAGTATGTATGCACCAAACAATAGAACTATAAAATATGTGAAACAAAGACTGAAAAAAAATAGACAGATCCAATATTATAGCTGGATACTTCAATACCCATCTCTCCAAAATTAACAGAATTAGACAAAAAATCAATAAGGATATAGAAAAACTCAATATCATCATCAATCAACAGAATCTAATCAACATTTATATATTAAAAAAAAAAACTCTTACCTAACATCAGTGCCTTTGGGCCACACCTAGATGGACCATATTTTATCTCACAAAACAAACTTCAAATGATTTTTAAAATCTAAAATCATACAGATTATGTTCTCTGACCACAATGAAAACAAACTAGAAATCATTAACTAAAAGATAACATAAAAATCTCCAAGCACTTTGAAACTAAATGACACAATTCTAAATAATTCATGGGTCAAAGGGAAAGTCTCAAGGATAATTTAAAAATACATTTAACTGATTAAAAAATTTTGCAATATATCAAAATATGTGGGATGCAGCCAAAACAGTGGTAAGACAAAAATCTGTAGCCCATTAAGTGCTTACATTACTGTAACTCACCCAATATAAAATATATACACAGCCCTGTAAAATAAATTAAATTTAGCAAAAGTTTGAAGAAGAATTAGTACAACTTCTACACAATTTCTTCCAGAAAACAGAAGAAAAGGGAACACTTCCCAAATAATTTTATGAAGCCAGTATTTCTGTAATACTCTGAACAAAACAGTATCCAAAACAATCACAAATAAAATTCCATAACTACAGATCAATATCTCTCACAAATATGAAGGCAAAAATTCTCAATAAAATATTAGCAAAAATAATTCAGAAATATATAAAAGGAATTGAACACTATAGTCAAGCAATTTTCTCAATGGATATAAGGATGGTTAATACTTAAATAACAATCAGTGTAATCCATCATATCAACCAACAAAAGATGAAAAATTACACGATCATATCAATTGATACAAAAAAAGCATAACAAACTACAACCTTATTTATAAGAAAAACTTTTAGCAAACAAGAAATAGAAGGGTAAAGATCCCCCCGCCTCAACTTGATAAAGAGCATTTACAAAAAAACCCATGGCTAACATTATACAAAGTGGCAAGAGACTAAATGTCTTCCCCTTAAGATGAGGAAAACAGCAAGGATGTCCACTCTTTCCCCTGCTATTCAGCATAGTACCAGAAGTTCTAGCCAGCACACTGAAGCAAGGAATATACTATACATTGGAAATAATAAATACAAGGAATATACATTGGAAAGGAAGAAATAAAACTGTCTCTTCTCAAAGATGCCAAGACAGTCTAAGTAGAAAATCCCAAGGTATCTATCAAAAAAACTCAAAGAACTAATAAGTGAGTTCAGTAATGCTACAGGATATAAGAGCAACACACAAAAGTCAACTGTATTTCTAAACATTAGCAATGAGCATATAGAAACAAAAATTTTAAATACAATAGTTTAAAAATAAACACTTAGGTATAAATATAGCAATAGGACTTGTAAGCTGAAAAGTATAAAACGCTAACAAAAGAAATCAAAGAAGACTTAAATAA